GCAGGAATTTAAGTCACTTCAAGAGGATAAAATCAGTCATGTGGGGACGCCAAACAAGTGAAATAATGCCAGTTGTTCAGAAATAGCTTTATAATGGATGTTTTAACACACATTAGGGTCTTTTTTCCTTTACAGAAATCATCTAGAAATTTATCACAGCAACAGTGTGATAAAATACTCTCTAAAGAGAGCACAAAAGACTAACCAGTAATCCCAGAATGAAAGGCTGACCACCAGATACTTATTTTCCTGATAGGATAATACCAAACTGAAGAAAACCAATATACCAAATCTATTTAGTTTATCAACAAGGGCCGAAACACCTAAAAATCACCACCCTAAGTGGATGGTATCTATTAACTTGCCACACTAACAAGTCAAGTATCAACACAGAAAGTTCAGGATACTATATAGCCACTTCAGCTACAAATGTAACATTACATATTTCATTATTTTCTCATGTGTCTCTCACAGGTTGGACCATCTGCATCATAAATCATAGTTAATTTTGTAAACACCAATTTCCAAGCACAACAAACATCAGATGTGTTTGCCTTACAACTAGTAGACTTCCCATGTCAATTACTTTAAAAATCATTATTCAACAAATGGATGTTTGCTACTCACAGGATATAAGCCACCAGAAAGGGCCTTTCCAAGAAGAATCAGATCAGGTCTCACATTTTCATGGTCAACGGCCAGCATTTTCCCTGTTCTGGCTAAACCAGTCTGAACTTCATCGGCAATAAATAGAACCTTTATAGAGACAAAAAAGCAGAAAAATCCATACATGAGAATGACTTTCACTGCCAGTCCTAACTCAGTTCAAACAATACAGTGTCAGTGCACACAGTAAGTGAAAGATCTTCCAGCTGCAGTACACTGAGAACACCAAGGTACTTCCTTTGCCTTCTCTAAACCTCCTGGAGACTTACATATTCTATAATATGTCAAAATATTAATTACTGAACATGCTTCCCTCTCTCTCTTACGCCTTTAGAATATTCTTTCCTATGTAAGGCATACTCCACAAAATGTCTTTGTGATATAACTGTGAGAGGAATTAGTCCATTAGTAAAGATTAATCCTTCCTTACTCCCAGTGCATTGCTTGTACACCAGCCTTTGGAAGTTTCTGAAAAATGCCATATTAGCAGCTCTGTGGGTCTGCAGTTTGATGTCTGTGTGTCTAAGTAAGTCCAAGAACCTAAATCCAAGTTTTCCATCTTGTTTTCCTAAGCTGTGCTATTGTCATGTGCTACTATTTGTAAAGCAGCTCTTATTTTTTCTGAGAGGTAAGTATGACAGCAATAATGAAGACAACTTTACTAATTATTTGTCAGTACCTTTCTCTGAACGTGCAGAAGGATTTATGGGTAGCATCTGCAAATTAAGAATCAGAATTCTATTGAACAGAGACCACTGATTTTAAGTCAGACAGGCAACACCAAGGGAATAATAATATTCAGAACAGTAGTCAGGAACATGGTATGAAAGAGAACCTGAGAAAATGTCGAACAAAATAACAAAATTTTAAGAGCTCTGTTCTTCAGAGATCTTAAAAGAACATTCATAAACATATAGTCATTTTCTTTAGTGTTTCATTCTGTGACTCATTACTGTTACTAACAATTGGTAGCACTTATGCACTCCAGCAACAAGGTCCCCCAGTAGCCATGGTAGAACCACTGCAGTGATTGGCTTCCGGCCCAAGAAACTTATGTGAAAAAGAAATTTAAAGTTAAATTTATTTAAAATAAATGCAATTTCAAGAAAATCCATTAGAAACTTAAATCAGTGAGCACAGTAAGAAACAATGAAAACCATGCACTGCTAAGAAGTACTTCCTGGTAAGGTATTGTCAGGAAATACAAGAAGTATCCCTACCCTACTCCACTGAAAAGGAAGCTATTAAATAGCATATGAAGTCCTGTACACCTTGCATACAAAGATGACCTTACAAGATATGCCCATAAACACAGTGTGTAATGGTTAAGCCACCTCATTAGAGCAAATTCCTTACGTTGTGTTTTGTGCAGAGGTCCCGCACTCCTGTGAGATAACCTTTGTCAGGAACAACCACACCTGCTTCACCTTGAATTGGTTCAACCATGAACGCTGCTACGTTGGGATCTTGAAGGGCTCGCTGTAAAAATGGACAAAAAGAGAAAAGGTTTTACTCAGGTCAAATTTAGAAAATACAGAGATGAATTCATGGAGCAGAACCTGGCTCTAAGCCTGGTGGTCTACCTCAAATGACAGAAGTATTCCTGCTATCCCTGAGTACCATTTCAGTTCCAATGCAGCAGCCCATGTCACTATTTGCCTTGAAAGATCAACTGGTGTGCTTGCTTGGGAAATTACAAGCCTTAAAAATTGCCAACTCAGACAAACTGATTATGGGATCAGTTCATAAACTACCTCAGAAATGCACTCAGTTTTGCATTACCCCATACAAGACAAACAATTGCTCAATGCTTCCCTCAAACGCAAAAGAATGGAGCCTCTCCAGAACAATTTTGACTCCTTAAAGCAAAGTCCACAGCTAAATTCTTGCACCATCGAGTTCTAAAAGGGTTAGAAGTCCACGCGACTCAAGAGATGTAGTGATTCCCAACAAGAATTTACTAGAGCTTTTCTCAGTATTGCTCCATAAACAGAACAAATTCTGTTATCAGTCCAATGGACATGGATCTAAGCTTCAGGTCTCCAGTATGCATTCAAAGCCTCGATAAATTTGGTTGAAAGCCACTAAATTCTTACATTGCTTTTACAGTGGGCAGCCTTACATAGGTTCAAATCTGAGGAAGCTTTTCCACTCTGCAACTAGAATACACCAAGACCTTTGTTTCCCCTAAACAAATACTGAGGAGGCACGTATCTGCGTCCCATAAACCCTGTCCAACCTCCACAGACAATCCACTTATACTAAGCAGACCCAGAAGGCACAGAGGACCAACCAACTTGTTGTGCATGGAGATAATGTACCCCAGTGATGGAAAAGTGGTAAAGCCAACGTTCCTAGTGCTGCAGGACTCTCTGTGTTTGGCTTGGGCCCTCTTGCCTCCCAGGTCCCAAGTCCAGCACCCTATGGCTGCCATCAAGCACCATCTACACTTTAATACCTAAGCCCACATTATAAGGGTGGGAAATTTTAGACTAATCAAGGTCAACCCTACCCAGCAGCTTGATGGGTTGCATCTCATAAAATCATAGAATCATTAAGGTTGGAAGAGACCTTTACAATCATCTAGTCCAACTATAAACCTAACACTGCCAAGTCCACCACCAAACCATGTCCCTAAGTGTCACATCTCCCTGTGTTTTAAATATCTCCAGGGATGGTGACTCCACCACTTTCCTGGGCAGCCTGTTCCAATGCTTGACAACCCTTTCAGTGAAGAAATTTTTCCTAATATCCAATCTAAACCTCCCCTGGAGTGACTTGAGGCCATTTTCCTCTCATCCTAAAAACCAAGAGGTTTCTCATCTCAGAAAACCCAGGGAAATGCAGAATCGCTAGCATTTCATTAGCGTAAGTGGAACACCAGCCTAGCATGGTTTTAAGGATGCTGTGAAACTGGAAAGGCTTGTTTGCAACCACAGTGAACTCTAGTCAGCTGGTCACAGCATTTCTTAGAAAAATAGGTACAATATATTAGTTTCAGAATCCAAGTTGTGACTTTGGAATGTGTGTTACTGATCTGAATTCCCTGATGTTTTATCTACTGTTCTTTTGTACTGTGAAAATTTTAATGACGTGGGAAAAGAAACAGACCTTGTGGTTTTCCTTTCATATACTAAAGCAAAACTGAAATCAGAACCAAAGCAGAATGTACACATATTTTCTATAAGCAATTATAACATGTATATATCTCCTATATATGTCTAAACACATGTATTTTAATGTCAAAGCACATGTTTCAAAGGATAAACTGTTTTTCCTGCTTTGCTATTTACTAAAGAGACACTGCAAAATGCACTCTCTGACAAGAACAAAAACTGTCAAATACCTCAAGAGCTGGTAGATCATTGTATGGGATCACTTCAAAACCTGGCATAAATGGTCCAAATCCATCGTAGCTGGATGGGTCAGTAGAACTAGAGATAGCAGACAAGGTTCTGCCCCAGAAGTTGCCAGCTAAAAAGGAAAAAAATTCCATAAGCTTTGTTAGCAGTCTGAAAAAACTGAAAAGAGCTCAGGAAGATAGCAACTCTTTTTAAGGAAGATATACAGCTTTTACATAAACACTGCTCATTAAACCCAGTAAAAGAAGTAAGCACCATCCAGAATTTAGGTCCTAAAAATAAAGCTGCCAGTAAGCCTAAATGAAAAAGTTTATTTCTGTGCATTTCACAGTTCCAGAAGAACCCATTTATATTTGTAAAAAGATTGTGATATTGCACTATTTCCTATAGAAACACCAGTTAAAATGTCTAGGAACCAACTATCACCAAGATTATAAAATATTCATTTTGATTAAATCAGATACTCTCAACTAACCAATGACACAGTGGACTGTGGACTAAGACTAAGGAAGATGAAAGGTTCAATGCCTTCACAGCACAGAATCTACACCAAATTCTCCAGACTGATGTTTAAAGCCATTTTTTGTTCTGACTTTTACTACCCAAGAGAGCTTTTTTCTGTCAAAATGCTGGCTTCTGATAAGAGAAGGATTATTATTTTGTTCCAACTACTTGGCACATAATTTAATATTGTGGTTAAGGAGATGGGATCATACTAATGGAGAGCATATCTAGTTTATCGAGATGAGAAAGCACTTGCTAAAGGCTAACTGACTGAAGAGCAAAACAAAATACATATAGACGAGAAGGAAGGAGAAATATATTTGTTCAAAGGATTCCCAGAAGAAGAAGAAAAAAAATCTAACCTAATTGGCCCTAAAAACCACAATGCAATATTCAACGATGAATTTCAATTTATAAATGCTATCTAATGACGCTTTATGGTTCAGCTACTTTATGTACCAGAAGTCAAAAATAGTATTTACAGCTGCAGCGATTTGAAAAAAGGAAAAAAAATAAATCAATATTTAAGTAGTAAGCTTTATTCTGGGAAGTTTTATAAAATATAGAACCATTGAACAACATCAGAATTGACAAAATACTTCACCTATAACCAAAGAATACCAAATATAAGTTATTTGAATTAGATATCATTTGTTTTTCTATGTTTTGGAGGTTTTTTTAAGCAAAGCACAACATTGGGGTGTTTTTTTTAACAAAGCACAGGGGCAGGTAACTTTTTCCCTGTTACAGAGCCAAGCAGAGCAGGCAGATGAAAGGAGGAAGCGCACCCTGTATATAATCAGGACTTTGCAGGGCCTCATATTTACTTTAGCGATATTGCTTTTACTTTCATAGTATAATCAAGGCTACAATATGACTTTCCTGGGCTAATGCAAACTTCTGGAAGACCTTACGACTGCAGAAGTAAACCACTGGTAGGGAAAACCTAAGAGGGAAGCAGGCTTAACCCAAACGTGGGATCTATGAGAGAAGTAGCAGCAATCTGGGGAATGACTTTGAGATAAAGGTATATAAAAATTAACCGATTTTGAATAGAAAGATACTGCACTTTAACAGCCAAGAAGCAGTTAAAAGAGCATGGAGGACTGAATGCATTTTCCCTGTGACTTCAGGCAGACACTCATCAATTTTTGACAACTAAATAAGGTTCACTTTATATATTCAATTGCTGTTCATAAAGCTTTATAAACCACCTTATTAACTATGGTTTCCTTCCTGGATTTAAGTTAATTGTTGCATTTCCCTTGCAAAATCAGCCATTACCAGCAGCTCCTGACAAAGCACAGCTATCCTCTTGGAGCTACACCTCCACGAGCGAGAGCAGCTGAAATTAATTTGTCATAGGAATTATAGCCACACCTCCTGCTTTTACAGTCACTTCTGTTAAGATAATGTGCATTTCATAAAGGACATTATATTTAAAAAAACCAAAATGTTTATAATTCATTGTATCAAGGTTAAAATCAACTAGTCAGAAGCAAACAGAATATTTTGCCAACAGAATATATTTAAGACTGAACTTCAAACTTTAGAAGGAGGCTCTTAGCAAACCCTAAGGTCCTGCAATGACTGTTGTAGCCACAACAGTAGGTTGTTTTATCAGAATCACCAGCTGCGAGTATGCGAGTACAACATAACCTGTTAAACGGTTGAGATCTTAGCATACACTATTAAAATGTCAAAGGTTGTTCAATAGTTTTGCTTCAGTGAAAAAACAAAGCAAGCAAAAAACAACCATTAAGAATACTGCAAAGTAATCACTTCAGCTGTAGGAGAAAAGAGAGCCACAGTCTGGAACTCTATTTCTCCTCAATACCTCAACTCATAACACATATTTAACATACCTGCAAAAATTATTTTTGCTTTGTATTTTGGGATTCCTTTCACAGTGTATGCCCACTTCCGAGCCAATTTACAGGCAGTTTCTCCAGCTTCCACTCCTAAAATATAAAGCAATGGCATTATCACACCCGTACATGAGACAGGCCATTGATGCAGTACCAAACATTACAACTCTGTTGAATCCCACAGACAAGAAATAAAAGGGAAATGCAATTTTTGTTTTACCTGTGTTCATTGGAAGAACTTTGTTGTAATTGAACATTTTGGTGATAAACTCCTCATATTCACCAAGTACATCATTGTAGAATGCTCTGGATGTAAGGGTCAGTTTTTCAGACTGAGCTTTCAGAGCGTTCACGATCTTTGGGTGACAGTGGCCTTGATTAACAGCACTGTAAGCACTCAGAAAGTCAAAATACTTTCTACCTTCAACATCCCACACGTAAACACCTAGAAAAACAAAGGTATGATAAATACATGAAATAAAAGAAAACCTAGGACAATACTAAATGGTGTAAGTGAAGAGTTACAGTGCAATCTAATAAATTATAAACTGTATTGTTGCTATTCCTTAGGGCACACCAGAAAGGCACGTGAACCGGAAAATAATCAATTGACAAGAAAAGCATGAGTAAAAAATCCAGTATAGTTCCAATAAGTGCCCAATGAGGAATCAAGAAAAGAACCATTTCCCATATAAAGCTGGCATTCCACTGCATGAGTAAGTAATACAAGAATATTCCTTTCCTCCAAGTCCCCATTTTGGGTCTGAAAAAGATGATAGAGGAGAATATTTTTGCAATTAAGAATCTGAGGTCACAAAAATCCCAAAGCAACAGAACCCGAATAGTCTCAAAACTTAGAGGTAGACAGCTCTGAGTTGTCAAAACTTGTATTGATAAAAACCCCACTGTTAAATCTTTGTGCTGACAGCATTTCAATGTAAACCCATAGAATTTAGCCTGCAGAGCAGAAAAGCCCCATAAACATCATTAAAGACCAGAGTAACTTTAAATCAAGCAATAATACAGGAAGAGTTCTCAAGAAGTTAAACAGAGGTCAAATACTTCCTTTCATGTTCATGTTAACATGGAAACTCTTCACACAAAGTAACATAAGAAACAGAGTTGCTTGAAACTTCCTTGCTGAGTTATTCTGAATAAGGAAGATTATAAAAACTAGGATCTCTATTTAAATAAATCATTTTAGAGAGAGTACCATTTAATCAAGTGGCCTTATGCATTTATTAATTAGCTGCCTTTATTTTATCCATTATCTCAATCTCCCCCTCCACCCCAAAAACCACCAAATATTCAGAAATCTATTAGCTCAAAATCCTTATGCATACACACATCCTACCTACACCAGCCAGGGAAACCTAAATAAAATACCTTTTCCTTTTTCCAGTGCAACAGGTAGTGGGTGATAATTGTGGGCACCATATTTAGCCTCACGATCAAATATATAATCAGAAGACAGAGGCCCCTGGACGGTTTTTTTAGTAGCAACTGAGGCAGCAGAACTCGACGAGGCGTGAACACCTCGCCGGAGAACAGCAAAGCTCTGAGAGCGGGCGAGCTTGGAGAACATTATGGGCTTCAAGGTATGCTGGTATAGATCTGGAAAAATAAAAACCAACCAAAAAAAGAAAGTTAATAATTAGCACTAAAAGTACTTCAGAAGAAATGTATGACGTTATCGAAGTGTTTTTACTGCCAGGATTACAGGTTTCTCAACACTTGTGCAATCGAGAAAGCTTATATGAAGTATAAATGAATGCAGTATTAACTTCAAATCAGTATTTTTTTCTATTTCAATGAACACTCAAAGTAATGGGAAGAAAACCAAACCACATGACTCACCGAGTCTATAAACTAGTCACATAATTTTTCCTCTACGTGTTCTTTTTTCATTGTGCTTTAAATTGTGCCTAGACTTATTAATATCAACTACAATAAGAAAGTTAATTTTATCAAACTTCTCGTGCTCTTGAAATGCCTTTGTCAAGCAAAGATTTCTGGAAGACAAACATTTCACAAAATCAGAAAGTAAATAATAGAGTACTGGGGAAAGAAGCACCTGACCCAAATAATATTTAACTGATTATCAAATTTTATAAGAGAGAGATTAGTTTTAACTGAGGTCAGCTTTAAGCAGCAAAATTTGGGACTTCTTATATAAATTGCATTCTTGATTTTAAGATGTTGCCACCTACACTTAAAGCACTCACTGTTAGTAGCATTTTAAGACCTTCAAAAACAGATGGAAAGTAATTGTATGTCAAATATTAATGACCATAATAGCACCCTGCATTTTCTTAGCAGAACTCAGCGACTTCCCCTGGATACATAACTTTGTACTGTTAACGTCTAAGGATAATCTGAGGGTAGAATTTCATGTGACAAATGCACTAACATGTCCTTCCTGTGCCTTCACTTCAGTCAACATAAAAGGAACTGAGGAGGGAAACTAAGCTGGCATTTTAAAAGCAGCTGAAGCAAGCTCTCCTTGCAGGACTGAGTATTGGGTATGGCAGAGAGCCACCAAAAAAAACTACGATTGCTTTAGCAGGAGTAAGAGTTCTCAAAGCTCAAGTTTCTCGTCTTGCAGAACATCACACTGACAAAGTGGCAAAAGGTACGAGCCAAAAAGGAAGATCCTTTGTAACCTACTCCACAGCAAACTGAAAAGCTGAGTAACCTGGGCACTGCTGTGCTACCTCACAACCAAAGCACACTGTAAACCAAAATATACTTATTATCAATAGGAGCATGCAGGGATGGTTTACACAAGGGTGTTCTCACTTCAGGCTGCTTGCAGAGACAGAAACATGAAGTCATGGATTTATTCTAAGTTTATTTTGGGCTGCACACTGGATGTGGCACCTTAAGCAGACAGAGATTTCTTTCAGCAGACTCCTCAGATATTACATGGCTGCTCCTCACTTCTAAGCAAAGCCAGAAGGCTATTTTCTGCATCTACTGAAATCAGCCAGGCCATCCAAGTCTTTTGGACGAGTCAATAGCCTCTATCCCAGCAAAAGACGATCAGCAGCTTCCCAGCTCTGGGCATTTTACCAGCTATCATTAATGCCGTTAAATATTAGCCATTTGTGTTAATACTTTTCAAGGCCATTCTTCAAAGATTTTGCAAATAAAAGGGACAAACACTTCTCTGTGCAAGAAAAATTTTTGACAGAAACCCAACTCAGCTGCACCACTCAAAGTTACAATCTGCTTAACTCCTAAAATGTAATTGGTCTGTGATACCCAGGCCACTGGCACATCTCCATGGCAGAGCCGCTAATTCTATCACAAGCTTCTGTGTTTTTGGAGCTTTTCCAGACATTCCTGAAATGAAAGCTGCAAAGAAATGGAACTCTCATCTGCTGTGTATCAGAGAGCTACCTTTCTGCATGAAGAATTGCAGACCACTAATTCAAGAGTCTTCTTTTACTTCTTTCAGGTTGGAAAATCATCAGAAATTTGTAAAAGGGCTTTGCCCTCCATGAGAAGAAATGCCCTGCAAATTATGCTAGCAAGGCCACATCGTTTTAGCTGAGGTGTAGGAGATTACATGGGGTAGGGTTGAGTGAAGCTGAGAATTCTGGACACATCTGGAGTTAAAAGGTGAAGAAAAAGTTGATGATCAGCAAGAGAAGATGAAAAGAAATTTCAGGAAAGAGGAAGGGCACAGTAAGAAAAACTAAAAAACAATTAAAAAAATAAAATAATAATAAAAAAATCCCCAACTGTGAGGAAGTGAGAAATATGATCATGTCCTGCAGCGTGCAGTACCGGAATCAGAAGCCAGGGCATTTCACCAAGTGGAAAAGCTCTTGCATCAGAACAGAAAAGCTCCTCAAAGCACAGCTGCAAAACACACTTGAACAACTTTGCTCAACTGTTGAGCAAGAATATCCAGACCAGAGCACTGTGGCTGCAGATCTCACAGGTAAATTCAATGGTTTTCTGTACCCAATCCCTGACATGCACTGAAATTCGCCCCAAGGCAAATGGCATAAATTGTCAAATACATGAAAAACATTCCAATGCAGGTTGATACAGCATAGAAGAATCCGTGCCACAAAACAGAAAGGGGGTGAATGTTCAAGGGCACAAGCTATAGCAGGAGGAAAATCAGTCTGGACAGGCCAAACCACCTTTTCAAAGCAGCACCACAAGAGAAACAGCTCAGGACCCAGACTGGCAGGCAAGAAAGAGCAGGAAACCCAGCAGAGAAACACGAGATGTCTCCGTCGCCCGGCCAAGGCCACGGCAAAGCTGGCACCCTCAGGATACCACCACGACGGGAGCGGGGCTGGCAACGGGCACGGAGGAGAACGGTGACTCTGGCGGCTCGGCCTCGGGAAGAGGCTGTCACATCCCCGGCTTTCAGACAGCAACATCGCGTGGGGCGGGATGACAGCGCTCCGGGCCCGCCGCGGCTCCCTACCCTCCGTGGGGCAGCCCGATCCCTCCCGTTGCCTTGGCGACAGGGCCTGCTGCG